TAGTAAATGCCACAAGGACCTACTCGTCTCTGTCCTTGTCCCGTCCATCGCATTTCTTGGACGGCGGTGATGTCAGCCTTTATTTTTACGAGGACATCAACCTCTGGGCAGCGGCACCTTCCCAATTAAGGGACCGGACATTCCAGGTGCATGCCCTCAATTCGTAGTCCTTATTTCGTTTGTCTCTCATCCGAGGCTGTTGTTGCGTTGTCATTAGGGTGGTTTTTTTACGTGGCGGGTCCCAAACCCAGCGCACAACCCTATGCAGGGAATGTTTCGCCTTCTCACTTTAGCTCACCTTCAAACGGATGTTCTTAGGCTACCCAGAGGATACTTGGTCAAGGACCGGAAGTCGTGAGCTGCTTGAGTCATATGCAAAAGAATCGTTTCTGGCCACTCCCAAGTGAATGGCGATCAGAGAACTTTCCTCACTTGCGTGAACTTCTACACATGACTCCATCCTATGTTATGCTGTTGATAGAAAATCCCACAAGTGGTGGCACAGCCTTTTGCTTTTGCAATGCTTTTTTAATTTATAAAGAACTACAGTCCTCTTCACACAGGGATCTAAGCCCTTTGACTTTGAAAGCATTCAGACGAAGCGTATACCAGGGACTACTGGCCCCAGCATATGTCAGAGACAAACGAAGGCCCGAATCAGTGAACAGCAACCGCAATTCTACATCTTCTTCTATAGGCCATGCATTTATAAAACGTCACAAGCCAACAGTCCCTTCAGAAATTCGTCTTGAATCCAATCGCCATCAACCTGAAAGAGCACATCAAGAAGATGCTGTCTAAAGAAGAAGAAGATGCTCACTAAAATATTTCCAGTCCGTACTATTTGGCAGTGTAGTACATGCAAAGTGCCTCTTTGTCTATGCAAGGTAAAAGCTTGTTTTTTAGATTTTCATGAAAAAAAAATTTACCTGAGTTCCGTTCCGGAGAATTTCATTATATCATATAATATTAATAAACAATATAAGTAACTCATAATTGTTTTGTTTCTATCAATAGTCACGGTGGTTAGTGCCCCTAACCACCTCATACCTCGAAAACCTTCATATAATACGTAGATTTTTTGTTCATACTTTCAGTGATATTTCAGCTGTAAATAATACCAAAACAATAATCGAAACATTCAATATATTCTTAATCTAAAAGCGTGACTGAAAGAGTTAAAATACGTTGCGCAGTGTTCGGATGCAATAGTAACAATGTTAAAAATACTGCTACAGAGTGGAGATTTTTCCATTTCTCTAACGAAAAAACAGTACTAAAACAATGGATTCATTTTTGTCGTCGGGCGGACAAAATTAATGTTAAAAATGCGTTAATTTGTGAAGTGCACTCCATAAGCCTCCGAAAGCAATTTGCAGTTTATAATGTTTAATTATATCATTTTGATTACAATAATTTTACTTGAATAACCAAACACTCTTACAGGTTTAAGCTCGCGGAATCCAACGAAGTTACTACCTAGCGCTTTTCCCACGTTAACCACTGCTCCTGTAGAAGTTCGTCTCGTTTAAACCAGGACGTTTTAGAAATATTTTGATGTAATTAGTTTAAAAGGCGGTCTTCACGATCACCCTGACAAGCAGGAGTTGAAGTATAAGCTGCGTTCCTATATACTTGGTCCCAACGAAGGAGCGGTTACAGATGAAGGAAATGTTATAGTCGATAACACCCCAGATTTTGAAGGGAATTACTTATCTCTAACTGGGAATTATCAATATATATTAAAATTAGATAGCATTATAAACCTAAAACTACAGAAAATATTTTAATATAAAAATGAACTGATGTGAACAAATGAAAATATATACTTACTTACAAACTAAGTTTTTGCATACTTACCACTATTTCTTATCTTAATTATAATAATAAACTTAATAAACAATTTATTCCATTCATTTATACGCATGTATGTATTTATTATATTTTTGCAGGTAATATTTTTTCAGTTGGGTCACACTTTAGTTAGCAGATCTAAACTCCACTGGCCCAACTGAAAAAAATTGATGACTTGGAGATTCTCAACAACGACGGACTTGAGAATTTGGCAGGGTACATCTGCCACAAACTTGGTAAAGACAACCCTGAAATATGTGCCAATTCAGAAAATTGTTCATCTTATACTTGGGTGGATCCCCTTTCTGAAGACGGACTCTCAAAACCAACAGATATGTTGATGGAGCATATGCGAGCCTTGCAAGCAGTATTTGATGACATAAATGGTACTGATTTGCATATATTAAGTTGTCAAAAAAGTCTTGCGGTATTTTTGCTAGTTGGCGCTGAGAGCGCGTAGTTCTAGTTTTATTCGGCGCATCGGGTCATGCTATACCTTTTTGGAAAGCTCATTTCACGCGATAATACGTGTTTGATTGAATGTCGTTTCTTTTAAGTCGTTCGTGAGTTATAGCGTCGCAAACATGGAGCAAAATAAAGAGAAAATACGGCATATTTTACAGTACTACTACGATAAAGGAAAAATGCATCTCAAGCCGCCAATAAAATTTGTGCAGTTTATGGACCCGATACAGTTTCCATTTCCACCGCACAACGATGGTTTCAAAGTTTTTGTTCTAGTGTAGAGGTGGTCGAAGATTCGCTACGCTCCGGAAGGCCTGTCGTCGAAATTGCGATAAAATCGCTGAATTGGACCAAAGAGACCGGCATAGTAGCAGCCGTAGCATCGGTCAATGCTGGGCATGAGTCATCAAAAAAAAATTTTACCAACAATTGAAAATCCAATAAAAAAATACCGCAAGACTTTTTTGACAACCATATATGTACAAATCATGTTCAAAAACACTTAGATTTAAGTAATTTTGTAAACTGTACCACGAAAGTAAAAGAATTGTTAGAGCTAGAATATTTTTTTTTTTTTGGGATTCATTCCCTAAATAAAAACATAATTAAAAATATGTACAGCAGAAAAAGAAAATTAAAAAAGACAATAAATTGATAAAATGAAATAAAAAATATTCAATATTTTTATTTGCATAAATGTATATGGTTGAAAACAAACACAGCAAAGAGATAAAATTAAATAATACAATGAAAATACAATGAAATTAATATGAAATTAATATGAAAATATTCACTTCTATTGATATCTATATATATTTACTTATATTGATGTTAACTTTTGATGATATTAATGTTCTGTATCATGGTACCATGTTCTGTATGCTTGCAATACAAAATTGCTTCTTATTGCAAAGAAAAACTAACAACTAAAATCAGCTGATTGTACGTTGGTCAACCTTAGTAAGTAACAATTGCTAAAAAATCTAGAAAACCTAATAAGTGAGAACTTCAAACATTATTTCCTGCTTAAAGAATAATAGAATGGCATCACAGTTTTTTCATTCCAAAAACCATTGTGAATGCACACTTTCACTTTGCAAGCAAACAAATAGTAACAAAAAATCATCTGTTATAGTAAACAAACTGTTGTTAAAATTTCCAAAATGCTAACTTCTATGGTTAAAGAGTATCAAGTTAAACAAGCCAAGCGAAAACAGGAGCAAGGTATGCAATAAAAAACAAATAAGGATTCGTTGTAATAATAAACTAATTTATGTTCAGAAATACGACGCAAAGACGTTATTGAATCATCAAATGAGTTAACACAGGCCATTGTAGACCACTTAAATGTTGGGTGAGTATGTGCTTACATACTATAAGTACGGAAAATTTATTTTAATGTCACTTTTGGTAGTGTGGCACAAGCATACTTGAATCAAAAACGTTTGGATGCCGAGGCAAAACAGTTACACGTCGGCGCTACCAACTTTGCCAAACAGACGCAGCAGTGGCTGCAATTGATTGATAATTTCAGTAGTGCATTGAAGGTACATCTGTTTCTTGAAAGTTAAATTTTAATTAAAAATTTTTGTTATTCCAGGAGCTGGGTGATGTGGAGAATTGGGCACGTAGCATAGAAAGTGATATGCAAGTCATACAAAATACACTGGAGATAGCATATAAGACATCCAGGCAAACACAACAATATAATGCTAGCAAATAACTGTGAAAACAACTATTAGTTGCAAATATAAGTTATATGAAATCAGTGTTGATATTTATTTTCTTCCAAGGAAATAGAAAACGTCATTTGTACTACATTTACAGTTATACATTCTAAAATATTTCCAATTACGATTTCAAATTTTTCCCTGTAAATTATACATACAGAAATCAAAATTCAGTTGCTTTCCATTTTTTCTTTTATTCCATTTGTATTAGTAAATATTAAAACTAATTAAAATTAAAATTACAAGTAAACAAAAGTAAAGTCTCGCTTTTTTATAATATATAAAAAAAATAGCAGCGAAACGTCTCCACTTCAGTTATTTGATGTCTACTGGACATACATACATTTAAATAATTACATATGCAAATTCTTTAATGCAGAGGTGGCTACATCACATTTAAATAGTGCTTCTTTTTTTTTTGTTTTAATTATGAAATTGCAATACATACTGTCTACTGCTAAACAGAGTTATAAAAATGTTTGGTAGTCAACAAATAAAATGTGTTATAAGTAAGCAAATAATAAATGATGTTATTAAATAAATAGCAATTGTAATTGCATTGAAACTAGCATAAATAATAAAAACAGAGTAAATGCCAAACTTGGGCGAAATAATTCAATATTATGCTGCTGGCTGAATAGTACGTTAATTCGATTGTTACAAATAAAAAACACATTCCATACATTATTTATAATAAATAATTTGCTGTCAAATGTTCAATATAATGAAAACGTTAACAAAACACCCACGTAAGGAACCAATAACTCATGATATTTCGGTATAATTCAGCAGCTATTTAAAATCTGTAATTTTTGTTCACATTTTGCACATTAAGTCCATTTGAAAACATAGGGAGCAAAAGTACTACAGTTTATGTTTTCTGTGTAAAAATTACTAATAACATTATAATTTATACACATAGCAGTTTCAATAGCGGGCACGCCCTGTAAACGAAAAACAAACAAATTCATTCTAAGTTAAATATCATTTCGATTTAATACATACGCGGAGAGTAGGAACGACTCCGACTGCGTTCATAACGACGCCTTCGATCACTGCGGTAGTTATTGTTGCGACTGTGATAAGGTGAGCCCGAGCGACGACGGGGACGATAGTCATCTCGATAGCGATCATTATGCTCACGTTCACGTCTTGGCAAACGAAGGTAGAGAAAAATTAATAATCTTTACTTATATACATTAAATTACTATTTGTTTACATACCGTGTTTGTCGGCCCATATAGACACCAGGAGTGGGAGTGTGCGGTCTTTGCGTTGTTGAGTAATCAACTCTTATGCGCCGATCATCAATTTCCATGCCGGAGCAGGCGTCCTTGGCCGCCTTTGCATCCGCTATGTCCTCATAATAAATAAAACAAAATCCACGCGATCTACCAGTCTGTGGAAAATAAAATATATTATATTAGAAATCAATATCTTCAAGATAATTTTAACATAATTATCGCAAATGTATGGGAGAGCCTTTAGTATGTACACGCAAGTGTCTTTGGCGTGCTACTCATTATCTCCAATTTAGAAAGTAATTGGTTTAGCCATTTTTTAAGGTCATTTAAAAAAAGTTTTATTTGAAAATGTATCCATAATTAATAAATGGCAACTCCATGCTTCATTACTCGTATAATCAATATGCTCACCTGTGCATCAATTACAACTTGTATTCGTTCAATGGGTCCAAATCTGGAAAATATATCACGTATTTTTTGTTGCGTTGTATACACACTTAAACCAAATACACCTATACACCGATTTTGCACTGGCTTTTCCTGTCAAATTCAAACCAGAATGTAATATATAAATGCACAACTTTAAAAGCCATACAATAGGACTCACCCTATTACCACGACGCTTTTCGTATGTGCTACGGGAACGTGAACGGGAAATACGACGACCATGACGTGGAGAGAGTGACCTTTTAACATGCGAAAGAGGAAAAAATTCAAATATTGAATATTGGGTATACCACACCAAGTGTAAATATATATTTTCAAAAAACAATTCGCATTGATAACTGTGTTGATCGTTAGGTTATTATGTGTGCCCTTTAATATTCTTTTTTCACACTTGAGTTTCATTGAGAGGATTGTATTGTGATGAAATTTGAAAAACTTGCGCTGTTGCGTTAGACTTGATACTATTGTGTACTTTTTATTTTTTGCGTTCCGCCGTTTGTCTCGATCATTAAATCACAGAAGAAACATTTGGGTTTTTGTCTAATAATATTTGCCGTTCAAGTCACTTCTGTGTAAATTTTTGAAATTGAATCTTACATTGAAATTATGCCTTTCATTATTTGAGTTCATATAAGTTTTTGCTACAATTTCACTATTCTGAAACGGGAAAAACAACCACTACGTTATTGAAAACTATCGTTGTAAATACAGTGCTTAAAAATATTTCGTGATTTCGACAAATCATTTTAAACAAAGAGTTACAAAACTCACACCATGTCGAAAGGCTTTAGTTATTTACAGCCGTGAAAGCTGTTATGTATCTATTTTTAGAAAATATATACATAAATATAGTTACTCTAGAAACTCAAATATCACAAATATTTAAAGCAAAACGTACACGTCTTATGATTTTTAAACGATTATGAACGCCTTGCAAGAAAATGTATCCACTTTGTAAAACTAAAACTCTGCAGAAATAAAAAAAAATTCTGGTTGTCATGACGACTGATAAGACGTGAAAAATAAATTTAAATATATAGATGCATAAATTAGCCACTAACGTGAATTATGCATGTATGTAGATACTTACGTTGAAGAGCTTTGACTGGCTTCTGAGTAACGTCCAACTCGTCCTGATGGCAGTGGTGGCGGAGAATGCGGTTGTCGTGAAGCTGATCTACTGCGAGAACTGTACACCTTTTCTCTTGAATGTCGTCTATTTAAGAAACTTAAAATTACTATTTTAGTAAGTTTGGATTTAACAATTGATACATACCGACGCCCATTGTTGCGGCGAACTGGTGACTTGGTGTAACTACGACGTGGGGAAATACTGCGACTACGTGAACGAGGACTCTAGAATAAAAAAAAATTAATTCAATAGTGTTTATTAACATTTCGCGAATACCTTAAACATAAGCCCCATAAAATGAGGTTATGTTAATGTTTGGTTACATTGAATATCAACTAAACTTGATGGAAAGTTTCACTATATTAAAGTATCTGATTATTTTCAATGTTTTCGCGAATTTCTTAGTCAGCCACTTTAATTTTACTACATATATGCCGGTTAACAATGTAAAGTATGCTAGTGCAGTCTTTCGCAAGCGTCATATCGTCGCTTTAAATAACTAATATTTTATATCTCTACACTCACCATTATAACTATTCTACGGGGTTTAATTTTATTTATAGTATAGTATAATTATTATTCTACCACGAATTTTTACAATTAGCTTGTGATTAAAATAAAAATGCCCGCTTGCTCTGAATATGAGCTGACAAATCACAATAAACTTTTTGTACTAGTAATATTCACAATGCCAATATGGATAAAGTTGCCAACTCTTCAAATATTTATAGCTATAGCAAATGCAGTGACAAAAGAATGGACATTATTGCAATTACTTAACAATGTCTAAAACATTTCCGAACTGTTACTTTCTTTAATTAAAAGCTCCGTTATAATACTGAAATATATATAGTTTTACCTAAAAGACATCATAGTTCCATATAAACTTAAAGCAAATACATAAAAATTATAATTCGCAAATATATTTGCATTTCCAAAATTTGTCATTTCTAGGCCTATTAATGCCCACATTGAATTGTCTGTCAACCATTTCGGGTATAAATGACATCCACAAAAACAATATACAACCAAGTTTGTGGATGTACGCGCGCGGTACCGCTTGTTCTTTTTGTGAGTTTCGCAGATTTATAAAGAGATTATTTTCAGTGCAAATATCTACATTAATGTGACAATTTAAAGTGTTTAAATGCTAATTTTTACTGAATATTGAACAGACAGTGTACAGTGCAGAAGAACTAAATATTATATCTACATAATAACTCCTTAACGGGGAGTTTTTATAAGATTTCCTTTAGTGTAATATAAATGCAGGCAGCAATGGCGTAAGGGTGAATGCAAAAAAAGAATAAACATTTTGCTGACAAATATATATTTAAAAATGGACGAAATTGAATACCTGGAAGAGTACGAAGATTTAATTCTACCAAGTAAGTATAAATTGCTCTAAACTCGTGATAATTGTTTTTTTTTTTACAATGCCTATAATTTATACTTTTCTACTAATAATTCGATATTCATGTCTTAAGCAATGAGTACTCAAACTGCAACTACTAAAGGTCGTAACAGGACTAATCTTGTTACTATGCCAGATGATGAGGACTCTTCTTCTATAGATCAAGATATTTTCGACAGTTTATTCGATGATAACTCGGACGACGAGTCTGTAATGCATAAAAAAGGTATGTTTGTGGTGCGTCAACTTGTGCTGTGTGTTTTATTCAAAATATTTTTCATAAGGGCCTGCAAAACTGAGTCAGCGTAGTGAACACAGTTCACGATATTCTCGCGTTTCCATGGACTCGCTCGATATGCTTGTAAAAGAATTAGGTATAAAATATAAAATAGTTTTGCAAGTTCAAATACATATCAACTTATATATAATTTAGGTGAGCCATTCAATCCAAATACAGATGGTTCGAAATCGACCAATAAACCCCAACCTAAACAAAGCAATGTTAAGGTTACTCAACCCAACAAAACAGTACAAAAATGTGAGGTTCAGATTTAAATCATATTATTTTGTTGGGAATTTAATTTCGATTATAAATTTTATAGCTACAACCACAACTACAATGACAAAAGGTACCAACTCACCAACGCCTGCATCTAGTGTGAGTATGAAAACCAACAAAACAGAAGCAGCTAAAACAATTGTGGAACGCAATAACAAAACTAAATCCGTGGCTACGGTAAGGCCAACAGTGCAACAGAATCAGGGCCAAGCATCAGCGTCAACAAAGATAATAAATTCAAATGATGTAAGTTATAGTATGCGTGTTTCATTTGACAATTCAAATTTATAAATGATATATTTATTTTACAGAACGCGTTGCCAACAACACGCATATTACAAAGCAATAGAAGTTGTGGTATTCAAAATGCGAAAATAACTAGTGGTTCCACAAATTCAGCTAAGGGAGCCTCGCCCACTCCGTCAACATCGCGTAAACAAATTTCAGCTGCTACTTCAACAACCAGCAGTAACAGTAATTCGCTTAACAGTAGCAAGCATAACACGCCAATTACAGGGTCTAAGCGAATTATTGAACGTTCGCAGACAACCATTATAAAACCTGAAAAACCACAGATTAAAGATCCCGCAGAAGATCCTTTAAGTAAGCATATTTATTACTAAATATTTGTATTTATAAAAATAGTTGCATATTTTTTTAATTAAACATGTATTTATAATATGTAATTATATTACGTCAATTTGTTAGGTTTGGAAAATATTGAAAATGAATCGGACAGCGATACTGATTCGTTTATATACTCCGATGTATCTGCTGATACATTCGTTACATTGAGTGATGTGGACTATGATGAACGGCATATTATTGAATTGTCTAACGACTCCAACTATGAACGTGCTAATCTAGGTAAGTACATATTTCATAACTTATTGAGTAAGATAAGGTGGAAGTAAAAATGAAAAAACCTACAGACAAAATACGTGGGTCAACGCCTTCCCCCACAGTTTCTGATGATTATAAAAGTGATAAGGAGGATACCCAGACAAAAATGACGTCGAAATTTGAGGAAAATTCTAAGGAGGGCTCTGTATTGGAAAGAAATGCAAATGTTACGTCGAAATTTCGAGTACGACAATATGTTGACGCCGAGGTAACAACAAGTCGTCAACGAAAACAAGAAACGCCTAGTATTTCGAATGATAAATTGTCGAATGCGGAAATAAATTCAACATCAAAGGATACGCTATTGGAGCGTATAGATACTGTGCTATCCGTAGGAAATGATAAAGCAGAGGAGCTTAAATTTAATGCGAAACATATTGATAAAGTCGAATCTGAAGTTGAAGTTGTAATTGATAGTACAGATGAGGCCAAAGATAAGAAAACGGATAATATGCCAGAAAGTGCAAAAGCTTGTGATCACGTGGATGACATGCCAATTGTAAAGCCAGGAGTAATTCAAGGTGATCATCTTAAAACACTGAAATTAGAATTACTAACCAATGCATTATCTTCCGCAGAGCCATTCACAACTGAAACAATGGAAATCGATATGGGAGAAATTGTGGAGGAAGACGTTGAAAAAGAAAAAAATAATTTGAAGGATAAAATTAAGGAAAATACTGTTGAAGAAAGTAAAGAAATGCCAGATTATGATAGAACTCCTAATGACGCAATAAGGGTTACAACAAATAAAAAAGTTGATGATGTAATACAGAACTTGCCAACTACTGAAAATATTGATGCATCTGTGCACCAACTAGAAGTCATAAGTGAGCAGGTTGTCGAAACAGTGGAGAGCGCTGAGACAAACGAAACCTTAAATACAAAACAAAATGACACAGAGTGCACTACAAATGTGTGCAACGAAAGAGAAGTGAGCGAAAGAAATGCTAATGAACTACAAGAAGCGGCAGTTGCAGTAGAAAGTGTAACTAATAAAACTCCAAATATTTGTAATGAAGATCAAGTGGGAAATGTAGAGGCAGAAGTAGCTCCTAAAAACATGGCAGATGAAAGCAATAGCAATAGTGCGATAAAAACAGATGGCGAAAATGTTGAAAGCCAAGGTGACGTAAACAAAATAGAAAAGGATGATACCAAAGCGCATGCCGAAAAAGACATCGATCAAGAAAATTTCGGGCTGAACACGGGAGAGGAAACAAATGCAGAGTTGCAATTGAAGAAATACGAAGAACAAAATAAAATAATAGCAACATATGCTACGAAACAAATTGAGGAGACTGAAAATAGCAAAAAGGATGAAATTAAAAATGAAAGCTCGTCAGAAAATTTAAAATCACAAAAGGAGAATGAGGAAGACTGTGCGATCAGTTCGAAAAATGCCAAAGCATCGCAAGAAACTGTTAAGAAAATCCGTGGAACGGATAAACAACGCGTGAGCCTAAGGCGTTCAGAGACACCCGTGAGTACCAAATTTACGGAAAGTAAATCGCAGATTGTTGCCAAGAAACCAACCGAGAAAGAATCTAAATCTACCAATGATATGAAGAAAGCTGCATCAAAAGCTAGTGCTGAAGCAGATGTAGAAAAAGTGGTGGATGATGTTTATATATCGGACGGAAAGAAGGATGCAACGGTTGTATCTAAAGATGGCAAATCGAATGAAGATATCGAAAGTGTCAATATGAAAGAAGTAGGAAAAAGGTCACAATCCAGCAGGAACAAAAGTAATACACAAAAAACGTATAGCAAAATTGATGACAGCAAGAGTATTAGTAAATCCAATATGGAGACGGATAAGACAAGTTCTGAAATACAATACAGGAAGTCTAGATACGATAAAAAGGAAGAGGTTTTACGAGCAGTTTCGAATAGTGAACGTAGCGACGTAGCGGAACCACAATCTGTAGATGGAAAGCAGGAAGTTCGTGAGACAGAATATAGCAGCACAGTAAAAGATGTAGATGAAAGGAAACTCATAAAAGAAGTAATAGCAGAGACACAACCTAAACCCGAAGATATGATGCGCTTAGAAAAGTGCAAAACGCCTGAATTGACACCAAGACACGATAGAAGAGTGCGTGGACTAGTGGTCTCCTTGAAGAAGACCGATTTATCAAAAGTTCTTAATGAAAAACTTTTACGAAAAATAAACACCCAAGCAAAAGGTGAAATGCCAACTGATGTAAAGGAGAGTGAAACAGCAGCCGACGGCAACATAGAAAAAGCCAAAATAGACTCGAAAGAGCAAGAAATGCCGACGGTTACAATAAAAAGTAGATCGAAGGAGGATATGTCTTCAGATATAAAGAAAAAGGATTCTTCCGTTGAAAAATCAACAGAAGTAGGAAACAAAGATTTAAAAGTCGAAAATACTACAGAGAAAGCAAAAGAAGATACTAAACACGATAATCTTAAAGATAAAGCTGATATATGTAGGAGGGATGAAAAATCGGGCGAGAGCTCAAAGAGGTACTCTAAATATGAAACACCTAGCAGTAAAAGCAGGCGAGAGCGAAGTACTGATAAATCTGTAGAAAAAGTAAGTGAGTATTCGAAATCCATGAAAGTTGAGGATAAAGCAGAACATTCATCGAAAGAAATCTGTAATAAAGCAACAAATAAGGATTCAAGATTAGAAAAATTTGCAGATGATACAAAAAGATATTCAAGGGGTGAAAAAATTCCTGAAAGGTCAAAGAGAGAATCAAAATATGAGAGGTCTACGGAGAGAGCAAAGAAGGAATCAAAGGAAGAAAACCCTTCAGAAAAATTAAAGACTGATTCTAAAGATTCTACAGATAGAACAAAGAAAACTTCGAAAGAGGGAAAGTCGATGAGTGATGGCAAGTATGAAACAGAAATGAAGGAATCAAAAGACAAACCTGAGTATAAAATGAGGGGAGACTCAAAAGAAGAAAGATCAAAAGGTTCTTCCAAAAGGTCTACAGAGAGAGCTAAGGAGGGTTCAAACGAAGTAAAATCTGCTGAAAAAACAAAGACTAATTCAAGAGAGTCTATGGAGAAGAAGGCTCCAAAAGAAGAGAAATTTTATGAAAAATCTAAAAAAGACTCAACAGAAATATTTGATGACAAATGTCAAAGAGACTCGACAGACGAAAAAAGTGTCGAAAAAATTAAGGGTGAATCAAAAGACTTTACACATAGGACAAATAAAGACACAGATGAGGCAAAATCAACGCGCCTTTCAAGATGTGATAAATCTATAGAGCGTTCAAAGAAGGACTCAAAGGACGAAAAATCTGAGATAAATCTAAATAAAGTTTCAAACCAGAAAACACCATCTGCAGAAGCTAAGATGGAATCAAAGCATGAAAAGTCCGCGGATAGATCCAGGAAAAATTCAAAGGAAGAAAAAGTAAGGGGTGATTCTATAGAGCGCTCAAAGAAGGACGAAAAATCTAAAATATATGCAACTAAAGTTCCAAATGAGAAAAAAACATCAGAAGAAGCTAAGATTGAATCAAAACATGAAAAGTTCGCCGATAGATCCAGGAGAGTTTCAAAGGAGGAAAAAGTAAGGGGTGTTTCGAAAGAGGAAAAAACTTCAGCGTCAACAAGAGTTGATTATAAAGAAACAAAAAAATCGGAGCAATCAAAGTGTCATTCAAAACAAGAAAAATGTACAGACAAAGAAAAGAAAGACTCAAAAAGTAAAGAATCTGAAACAAAGGCTGCAATTTTTTCGAAGGAAGATAAACCTATAGATAAAACAATTGAAGATTTAGAAAAAACCCAAGAGGTAAAAGCAAAGTCAGAAGATGACAAAATTACCGATTATCGGCAGTTAAAATGGAAAACTGAGAAATACACACGGAAAACGAAATCTCCTAAAGATACTCAGACAGTGTCAGATAGTGAACTGAACGTTGAAAAGGAATCTAAAAATGGGACTTGTGAAGCAAAGCAATCTACCGTACTAACTGTAATGCAAACCGAAACAAGCGATAAGAAAACTATAAGGCAAAATTCGGCACTCTCTGATGAGTTAAACATGGAATCAAATGCAGACTCCACAGAAACTGAAACTACTCAAAATTGCGAAGAGAGCGAAAGCAGATTAATAGATTCCACTGTTGAGAGTCGAAAAGAAGATATAGAAGTGACAGAAGAAAAGGGCGATGCTAACGATAATGTAAATACTAGTAAAGTTGAGCAGAACGATAATAAAGGTCACACAATGAGTGAAAACGTCGATAACACTCAAAACGAGCGCTGCGAATCTCAAAAACCCAAAGAAAGCAAGCATGAATATCAAGTAAATAAAGATACAAAACAAACTACTCTTAGTACAAAGAAAGCTGAAAAGGAAACAGCTATTATCGGAAGCACTGAAAAAGCTGAATTAATAACAGCTGCTACTGAAAACACTGATAAATCTAAGACAGATGGAGTTGTTGCAAATAGCGTTAGCGAAAAATATGCTTCGAGAAGAGGGAAGTTCTATAAAACACGAGATAAAAAAGCTGAGCTTAAAAACGAAGAAGAGTCTGCTGAAAAAGACGGACCGGAAGCTAAAGCTGACATCAAAAACGAAGAAGAGTCTGCTGAAAAGGGTCCGGAAGCTAAAACAGTTGCAGAAAATTCAGAGGGTACACTTCAAAAGAAAGTTGAAAAAGAAAAGGAACACAAAACTGCACAAAAGCAAGAAGAGAACAAAACGGAAATTGTAGAAAGCAATGATGTAGGTAAAGTGGAAACTACAAATGTTGCCGAACGCGACCAAAAGGTATTGCAAGCAACAAAAGTTGACGAAAATGCCACGAAAAAACGAGCTAAATCCCGAAGAGTTGCTGAAAACACACACAAACGAGAGATTACGAATATGGAAGTTGAAGTAGAAGAAGAAATAACAAAAAATGAACGAAAGATGAATGATACTACAATAGAGAATAAAAATGTAGCTGAATCCCCAGATAGCAAAGCAGCACCAAAAGTTGTGGGTAGTGCCGATAAATTACTAAATCCAAATGATACGCAAACGGTTGACGAAAGTGCGAACGAGAATTTAAATAAAGAAGTAGAAGATGCAGCGCTGAATGCCGACGAAATTGAACATAACCAAGCTAAAGCTGGAACATTAAAGGAAACCGTAAACACAACGTTAGATGTGAATGCAAAAACTCAAACAGCAGATAAAAATGCAAATAAGAATGTCGATGCTGAATCTGTTAACACGACTGAGAAAAATTATTCAAGTCAAACTCATGGAGATAATAACGTAGCAAATAAGGACGTAACGACAGAGCACGAGGGCAACACAGAAAATACAGATCAATCAAGTAAGCAAGAGTTTTCTACGCAACAAACACCAACAACGAAGGAGAAAGGTGCTGTGGAAAGTGAGAAGGAATCAGCAACTGGAAGTGGCGGTAGCAGAACCACGAAACATAATCGTATACGCAATAATGCAGATATAAAAATAATTTCTCAATCGCCACAACTGCAGTCGGCTGACGAGGACGAGCATGAGGGCGCGACCCGTCGTTCAATGCGCACGCGCGCTGCCGATCATTCGACTAGCATTAAAAACGGTTAATAATAATAATCATACTAATGTAGAAAATATTTTTTTAACGAATATTTCTGTATATTTTTTCCTTAAAGATACTCACAAGAAATGTGTTAAAGCTACTGCAAATCAAACGCCAATTTCGGCAAATGTTACACAAAAGCTGCAAAAAGAGCAACCGAATAGCAGTCGAAATGCTACAGCGACGCCAACCACGAATTTGACACGCAAGCGCATGCGTGATCTCACGCCAAACACATTAGACGAAAATAACGGTAAGTAGCTGTATATAAAAGCTATTTGATGTTGTATAACCTTTTCGCTATTTTTTGTCTTAGATTTTTCATTAGAACAAGAAAAGTCGCTGAGCAAAAAATTAAAATGGGAGTCGGTACGAAAATCTTGTAAGTACTCAATTTAATTTATAAATTGTTATTTTTGTTTTTATTTTTATATTACTTTTATTTAAAAATATTATATTTATTACTAAATGGTTATTTGTTAAGTTTTTAAATTTTATTTATTTTGTTTATTTTACTTAAAAATATGTTTTTAATATATTTATAAAATTTTTATAAATTTTTTAATTATTTTTATTAGTTTTTTGTTTATTTTTATAAATAATTATTTTTGGTTTATGACGCTATATTAATTCTTAACACACACAACAGCACGCATACACCACGATGACGTTGACACCAGCGAAGGTGAACCTGATGCCGCTGCGCTTGCCCAACGAGGCGTCAAATCCTTTAGCGCAAAGGAAAGTCCAGCAAGCATGAGCGCACAAGAGAAGCAAGGCAAATCAACGAAAAGTGGCAAGAGTATAAGTGAGAGTGCAACCAATGTGGCAACAAAGCATAGCACTGTCTCCGAAGTTAAGCAATCGCTAACCGGCGATAACCTAAAAACTTCTAAAACGCGCGAAAAAGCAATTAACACCAGTCAAAACGCTAATAAAACTCACACGCCGGAAATGAAACGTAAGCAGGAATATGAAAAGTTACCAACCACAACAACATCGACCGAGCCGGGCAAGAAGCGTAGAGCTGATTTGGAAAATGCACAACAGTCAGCCAAGAAGTTAGCACGTGCAAATGATGAGACCACACAGCAACAAAAGAACACAATGTCTAAAAGCGCAGTTAAACAAGCACCGTCCACCTCGACTGGCACGCCTACGGCTGTAACACTGTCAATGGCAACAGAAGACACTGATCCATTGCAATTGCCGGTGAAACGCTTTAAACGATTACAAGCCATCGATGGTTATGATACATTAAATATAAGCGAGGAGCGCAAAGAAATTAAAGCAGAAGAGTTGGACCACAAAAATGTAACATCAAAACGTAAATCATTGCGCGCGGCAGGGCCAACTGATAGCACCAAAACGGCTGAAACAGCACATAAGTCAACACCAAAACAACAAATTCAACAGCAACAGCAGCAACAAAGAGCTGTACCAGCAAAGCAAGTAGAAGCCACAACTACTGTGTCGCTTAAGGACAGGAAGATTGCTGTACCCAACCGGACCGGCGAAGATGCAATGAGCAGTTCAAGCAAATCACCCACAAAATCACCTGGTTCTAAGGTAATCACTTTCAAAGAGTGGTTAGAGCAACAGAAGAAAAATACCTCTGAAGACGGTGGTGAAGAAGTGCTCTTTGAGCCCGATGAAAGTGCCATACGTATGGATAATGTTGCGACTGCCACAACGGCGGAGCCGAACCGCGGCAATCTAAGCTCCAGCGAAGTAAGGACTGTTGCCGAACAGAAACCAAATGAGACAACAGTGGTGCAAACCGTATCCACTGAGGTCAGCGCTAGTAAAAGTTCAACCAAGAAAACGAATGTACGTGATGCCAATAAAAGAAAGAGGCAGACAGAGGCGGCTTCCAATGAAACGAAAGAAGGTGTTGCAAATGAATTGCCCAAACAGACGCCACCCGCTGCAAAGCATGGGCGCATTGAAAAAGTGGTCACACCAGCAGCAGCACAGTTTAAACGGCCATCATTGCCGCAAAGAGTGTCACGTCTGACACCATCGCGATTCAACAATCGTCCATCAACACAGACCGATGGTCGCGCAGGCGTACACGGCACACATCAACATCTACGGGTAAGCTTATGCTTATAGTATACTCAAATTTATGATTTTATTAAAAAAACATATTTTACAGAAATTAACGGTACAACGGTTCGACGCTAAAATGAAATTGCGTAAATTGCGTGTGCGCATTAATCGTTCCACCGTTGCAGCATATTTCAAAAATTTGAATTTAAAGGTTAAAGAGCAAGGTGAGGCTTTCTCATTATTTTACCATTATTTGTGCAGAAATAAATAACTTCATATTTATTTTTTCTATAATTTTATCCAGTTGTTGAGAATCCGGTTATCTCAACTTCGCATTCAGTGACTGACATTATATTGTCAGAAAGCGAAGCCAAAGCTACAGAGCCTTCGCAAAAACGTAGCTCTCAAAAGGATCAACATGCTCCAGCTAAGAAACGCATAGTCAGCCAGCCTACAACAGCAACAACCCCATTACAATTGCCTACACTAACGGCGCGCCCAAATGTTATTTCTGCGGCAGAGAACAACGATGCGTTGAAATCTTCACCTGCAACTATGCCAGCATTAACGAAGGTGCCGCCCAGCGTGGAGCAAAAATCTCCAACAAAATGTAAGTGAATTAATGAAAAATAAGAAAAAATTTAAATTCGGTTGCAACAAAGCTAGAACATTCTTCACAGATAAAAAAGTTTCTATACAACAATTCGATTTTGTTCGGTCGGTTTGTATGCCAGTATGGTCCGAATTGAACACTTTCTTCGGATAATATTGCATTATCTTGGATAATAATCCGCGCTAAATTTCATGACAATATCTTGTGAAATATAAATTTTTTCCATACAAAGACTTGATTCCGATCGTACAATTTGTATGGCTATATGCAATAGTGATCCCATATCCACAGTTTTGATAAATTTTAAATCGAATCAGCTCATCACGCTTATTATATAACATAGAACTTCATAATATAGACGTTTTTTGTTTCCGAATCAACGAGTAGATGTTTAAGACTCAAGCTGATATTTGGGTAACTTAGAGAGTTCGCGTCTTTTTGTACTGTAGTTTCCGTCAATGCAAATTACTCTCACAACTCAGAAAGCCATGCGTTAGTAGCAATAATAACTAAGTAACAGTACATTTTACCACACCTACTTCTTTTTCCTTTTCCATTAGCTTAACCTAAATATATGATAAACAAATCAAGATTGGCAATTCGATTACTAAATTAAATAAAACTGAAATATATATAAAACGAAACTATGTTTTTTTTATGTTTAATAATCTAGCTCAAGAAAACACAGATGCTTCCCAAACTGAGACAGCAGATCAGCAATTTGGCAGCACAGAAGAGTTATCTCTGTTAACTCCAATGAAATGTGTCACAGTACCACAATCGACGAACAACAGTTCACGTTCACAGCAACAACAACAGCAACCAATTGCTTCAACAGGCGCTGAAGTTATGCGTGAGAAACGCTCAAGCACGGCAAGTAGTTCTGACGCCAGCGTCACACAACGATCGCAATCGACTGGCAAGCAAACCAACAGCAGCAGCAGCTCCACAATCACCGCCGCTAGCACTGCAAGTATTGCTAACGATACACAATTACCATTCACACCGGTAGTGCCTAAAGAAGAGGTAGTGGATGAGCACACAACGCCCGCACAACAAGCAGCTGCTGGTATTACGTCGGGCGCAAGCGCAGACAACGCCCCTACCACGAATTCCTTAGCTTCGCGTACACTTGCTATAGCAGCCGCCACCACTTCGGCACTCAATCAAACGCCTACAAATGATCCAAGCGGTTATTATGGACTGACGCCGACACAGTTGGATTCAAATGGCACGCGTCTGTATTCCTTCCTGCATCCAGCTAAGTACAATCGTAATCACGGCTGCGTATTGCTCGACTACTGTTGTCCAAATCTGGACGGCCCAATGCCTGCTATTGATCCGACACGTATACACGCGCAAGTGCAAGCCGGCGTACGCGAACTGCCCGCGTACATAGTGATGTCAACGAAACTTATAACACGCGCCGATTTGGAGGCCAACAAGAATGTTATACCGGCTTCCATCCGACAAAAGGTGGAAAAAATCACTGCTGATGCTACGAATATACCGACAAATCAAACGTCTGTGCCGACGATAGCAAATGGTGCACCGAATACAGCTGTAGCAAACGTAACACCGGTGGCACCACCTGTGCCCGTCAGCAAGCCCACAACATCAACAACTGCACTAACGCCAACCATAACGGCATTGCAAAAACATTTGCCCTCAACCACGGTCATTACACCGAAATTGATGCCATCGACATCTACACCCACAATGGCCACACTAGCAACATCTCAATTACCGACGGTATCGGATTATCAGCGTTCTTTGTTGCGCACCAGCATACGTCAGTTCGATGCACGTCTCAAAAAATACTATTATCGCATTGCAATGCTTTCGTTTTCCGAACGACAGACGATTATTGACAGCATGATCAACTCAACAACGCTGACACCCAAAGATGTCGACTGTGCTGTGCGTTTGATTGACGAGTATGCTGCACAAATCGCGGCAACTACTAGTCCGACCAATGTAACTTCGCCAGCAATACAATCAGTATCAAAAGCTATAACAACACAAACCACCAACACTGTGGTGCGCACCACAACAATACAGCAACAGTCACAGAAATCGAATTTGCAAAGTTCTAAAACTCAAGTTGCCGTCTTAGATAAGGACAATAGTTTATTGGGTTATCAGCTGGCAGCTTCACCAATGCCGATGAACAAATCATCAATATCTACAAGGTCCAGTATAATGTCGACGTCGATAACAGGCAGCATGAACACATCGTTGCCAACTGTTACGACCACGTCGAGCATTGTTTTACCCACACTGAAGGCTACACAGGCCTCACCAAGAATTTTTTACACCAAACCTCCAATGCAGACGTCTACACCGATTGCAACAACTACTAGTAACGCTAACACACCGCTTAACGATGGTAAAACCACATCGCTGAGAAGTACACCACGAATGGGGCGAGAGTTGACAATACGTCAGGTGAGAAAGTGAAAACCAAAGTATCTAAACTTTTTTCCCATTCCGTTCCTTTTCGTTATTTTTTTAAATGTATTAATAATAATTTCTCGTTTTTTATTTATTTTTTTTTATACGTATTTTTCTATACTTTTTTAATTTTTTTAATAGTTTTTGTAATTATGTATATATTTTTTTATTACTTCCTGTTAACAATTTTTATATAACGTTCAAATCCAACAAAAACTGTTCAAGCCACTAGGTACCGAATATTTGGACCCCAGTACCTACAGTTGATTATTGTTCGAAAATATTGGTCAATTCAGGGATAGTACTTCTCCGGGTGACTTAGTACCTTAAATATCGGCCAATATGTGAGCTATTTCAATGAAAATGATCTAGCGTATTTTACTCATAACAGTGTATCTTTGTGCCTAAAATAGATAAATTTGAGCGAAAAATTTACTTACCCCCCTTATAACTAATATCAGAATTTTCGAATATTGGGCTGACTTTACTCCATATGATTACTTTTTTAGTAATTGACATGTTAATGGTATGTGGAATTGAGAAAAATAGATAAAATTTGGTCGATACTAACCCAACTTCCTGCTTCGATTCTTGTAAGTTGCAAGATTATAAAATTTTCGGTTGCACTCGAAATTAGCTCTTCCTTACTTTGTTATATATATATGTTAATAAGCTTTTTTTTTATTATCATATTTGTACATATATATTAACTGAAATGTTGGACCAATTTTTTTTTGGTTTGTCGATAAAATGGATCGATATTTTGGATGAAAAGTTGCAAAATAACTAGGCAAACTTTCTTTTCTCATTCTCATTGTAGAGTATATTTTTTTATGAATTTATCAGTTTCAATACATATTTCATTCAGATCGAATTTCTAACAAATCATATCTTTAAAAATATTTGCCGGATAAACTTCAAATTTTCGAAGAATATTTTCGAATTAATTCGCATTCGATACATGTGCAAAAACGGAAATCAGAAGTGAATATAACCCCTTAACTGCGTAACTTACTATGAGCGTGTTAATATACTTACCGTTAATATACTTCTGAAAGCTACAACTTTTCGTTAAAATTCAAGAGCCGTTAAATAACAACTTGAAAATTGCTACACGTTTTAAAATCAGTTGCACATCAAAATTAAATTCTAAAATGGTATAAGAGGACTGATTAAACCGTACTAATCTTAAAATCATAGTTTATTCACCTAAGAGTATTAGAATGTATTATAAAAACATCAAACTAAACTTTTACTTAATAATTTTCCGTTTATAAAAAATACAGATTCCACAAAAACTAAATTCAGTGCCGGTGTCGTCCTCAACGGCATCCGGAACTCTACCAACACGCCGTTTACCAACATTGACACGTAATCCACATCTGACAGCAGGCAGTTCGGCAGAAAAGAGCATTTCCGAAACGATTACAACGCGTTCGGCTGTCACCATTTCAACTGCACCGAAGCGCATGACACGCGCCACCGCAGCGGCCAAAGTGGTTGTGATAACACAGAATACTGATGGCAATGGTGCGCCGCAAGATGAATGTATACTGCCGGACGGGCATGAAAATACTGAAATTAAACGTGAGAAGGTCGATGATGATTTCGTTGGTGGTAATTAAATATAATACAACATATATTTTTATCATTTTTTATAATAAAAATATAAAAATAGTAATAACAATGGAAAAACAACAACTATTTATAAGATCAATACAATATGACAACTACTTACCCAATAGAATGTTGGAATGTTGTACGGGGAGTAGCGTAAAATTGTTTTGCTAGATTAAGTTTTACTATAATGACTTCAGTCCTTTATAAGTTTCTCTCAATTGCATAAATGTTTGCGATTTTTTTGCAAAATGGTGTTTAACATTTTTTCTCATTACTCTTCATTTAATTTGCAAACAAATACATACTAAATATGTAAACATTATTTCATATTTTAATGTATACAGAATTTTAGTAAGAGCGGCTAAATTTCTCACAATAAGGACTAAATCAAGCACCCATGTTCATCGAATTCGCCTACAACTATATTATACTGCAATGTATGACGTAACATTTTATTTACCAATAAATATATTTGTATATATAGTAATTTATTGAAATTACTATTTTTCTATTCTTGTCACAGCTATGTAAGTCAAGAAGTGTAAAAATATGCTATAAGAGTTATTAAATTTGAAAAATGTGAGACCCAGCTACTCTATTATAATAAATGCATACATACATATAAAATATTATTTTGTGTGGAACCAAATTTAATAAAAAGAAAAGTCGTATCTTTTTACTGCCACCGCATTTGCCAATATGTACGAGTATGAATAAGTATGATGGATGCTTTCATACTGCAACTCATACTCGGATATCTTAGAAACTTAAATATGAATTTTATAAAACAAGCAATTTTAGTGGTAAATTGTAAGAATTTTGTGCGTAACAACAGCAATTTTAAAACTGACGCCTGCACAATTGCTGCCAAAGACTGTGTGCCAGACGGTGATATTTTTCCTTTTGTTGAGTTGGGGTTAAAAGATTCCTATGGTGTAAACAAATTTTTTATTTTGCTGTACCAAATACAGAATAATGATAATGTCTTGCTATTTAGATTATCAAATACTTTCGTAAAATTAATTAAATGAAAAGCAAATTATTAGCTTGCTAATAACTCTATTAATGAAACTAGAAAAAATTCATTAAATTGGAGCTTTGTTAACAATTAAGAGTTTTAGGCAACATGTACGCTCCTTGCATTTGGTATGCATAGATTAGATTGATAAATGAGGAATGCGCCACGACCATAGGTCTATTATGCTCTCTCTTAAATCACAAGGACTCACTTAGCCCCAGCACAAGATGAAGTCTTTTCCTATCCGGAAACATGGATAGAAGGGCCTTAATCTACAGACTGCTGTGCAGCCGATTAGCACGTGTTCCGGTGTTTCAGGCTCCCTGTCGCAGAACCGACAGTTAGCGCAAGAGGATAGGCCCATGTTATATAAATGCCTATTCAGCATGCAGTGGTCGGCATATAATGCAGCCAGTAGCCTAGTTTATTTCTGGGGAGGTTAATTACAACCTTAAGCCTGATCAGGTTGTACTCCCCAACTAGCAACTTTGCATGTCGCATACCGTGTACTCGTTGCCAATGCCTTTCCCTGCCCACTCCTTCCTTGCGGAGTAATTCCTTWAAGGTATGGGGACCTACCCCAATAAAGGGTTCGGGTCTTACCATTTTGGTGGAGGCTGCGGAGCGGGCGAGCTCATCAGCCTGTTCGTTACCGGTTATACCTCTATGATTAGGCACCCCGATTAGGTGCACCTGGTTCCGTTCCGCTAGGCTCTTCAGCCGTTCTCTACACTCCTGCACTAGTAGCGATTTGATCTCGTAGGAGGAGATCGCTTTTAGAGCCGCTTAACTATCGCTAAGTATGGTTATCCGCTCATTGCAATAGTTGCGATGAAGGTTTATCTCTATGCACCGACTTATGGCAAAAACTTCTGCCTGGAAAATGCTCGGAAACCTTGGTGAGTGGAACCACGATCCCTGCACAGATTTCCTCCGACATTTTCGAGCCGTCGGTGTACCACCTCAACGTACTATTACCTTGCATTTGCCACACCCCTCTGCCGTTATTTGCAGAATTGTGTGCTTGGCTACTTGACCGATAACCAAATGAAGCGGTGTAAGTTGAAGCAGGAACTCCTGTGCTGCCGTTTTACAAGTGTGCATTGCGCCCATCATGCAGGCACAGGCTAGCCGTTGCAGCTTCGATAGTTTGTTCCCTACCAAAATCTGCGACGCTATTGAGGCCCAGGCCACCGCCCCGTACGTGATTATCGGTCGCACAAGCATGGTGTACAACCCACTAACGAGCCTTGGTTTACATCCCCAGGACTTTCCCGCCAGCCGATTGCACACCATAACTGCTTTTGTTGCTTTGACTAAGGTTTACATGCTGCTTCCACCGCAAAGTAGAATACTGCGTGAGACCGAGAAATTTGACCTTGTTGGTCATCTATATCTCTCTACCCCCAAGTGTGAAGTTCCTGAGACCGGATAGGGACCTGCGTCTCGTGAACGGAACTACGGTGGTCTTGGAGGGGTTGATATTCAATTCAGCAATCCTTCACCCACCCTTTGCCAGGTTTAGACTTCTTTGTATTAGGTCGCAGAGAGTGTCCTCAAATTTACCTTTGGCTATAATTACAATATGGTCCTCATACCCCTGGCAGCGAATCCCATTGTCCGTTAGCAGTGCTAACAGGTCGTCCACGACAAGACTCCATACTGTGGATCCCTCCATGGAAAATAGGCTGATGCAAGGACGAAGTCTTTGCCTTCAAAGTCCCTGGCTTGTATCGCCACCAGATGCAAAATGCAGAAGAATTCAATATTATTCCTGACCCCTATGCAAGTTCTAGGTCTCTCGCTAGATAGATCCCAGATTACCTTATTGAACTCCGTCTTGAGACCTTTAACCTCTCTTCTGTAGACCCAAGGCTCTTGGATCAGCAGGATGCCCAGTTTATCCGCTGTGAACCTGCTCGTTATGACAGCTGAAGCTGCCGTCGCGTGATGCAGGTAAAGCTGGGCGACTTCCGTGTTGACGGCCACTATAACAGTGGTTCGATGAGGGCAAATTCTCATACCCGCCTTAATTTGCGCTGCCATCCAGTGGGTCTCCTAGCCTATTGAGGAGTTCCTGCGTGGAGGGTAGCTCTGCTCCCTGGCCACATGATCTCTCATCGGAGACGTAGAAGAGAATATTTAGAATATTTACATTAATACATTTATATTAAAATCTTTCAATCAACTACAAATATATGTATTATTTCTACTTTATTCTTCCATCTCAATTTTAGTTTGGAATATTTCGGATGAATAACCAAAAATCAAAAAGAGTCGAAGTTCGCTTATGCAGAATATCATTTCTGTATTAAATATAATAAATAATAACATATTCAAATTATGAATTTACATACATATATAAATTGACAAAAATTTACTTAGGTCGAGAGCTGGCTAAAATTCTGTCATTCGCGTTCACCACTTCAAAATTTCACTTATCCCTAAGAATTTTAATTTTTCTATCGTTTGGCACACAGCCAAAATAGCCAATTGCAGCAAATATAAGGAAATGGATAATTTTGTTTATTTTAATTTCACCGTGCAACTGGATACTCATACTCACTACAATGTCATAATGAGTTACCAGCTACTATATAAAAAAGAATTTGCTGCATTAAAAGTACATGAAATTGTGCTTGTTTAATATAACTTTTTGCAAATTTTGCTATAAACTCTGAAATAAAGTGTATAAATAACAAATCAGCATTGCTAAACGTACCTAGTTAAATGGCATCTGAAATTGTAATTCGCCTATGCCTGGCAGCACGTCATGTATGTTGTATGAGTCGTTAAATTTTTTAAAAAGTGCTCAATCCAGCTATCGAGCATTACGCTCGTGCAATTTGTGATTTACACATTTAAAAATGGTCAAATTTGATAAAAATTAGTATATACATAGTTAGTACTGCATGTATAATGAATCCTCAGTTACGCGCTATTATTAAAATAGGTGGGCTACAACAACGTTTTCGTTAGTTCCTTTTTCTTGCCCAACTTTCACAGTTGGCAGGAACGGGTAGGTTGTGACGTTTCGCAATTGGAAAAGCAGTTGAAATTCTACCAAAAATATATGTGTAGGGATTTCCTGCCGCCGTTCTTCAGTAAAAAATGTAAAGCAATGAAAATCAAAGAAAATGTAAAATTTAATTATATTTGTGCATTAATTTCCAATGAAAAATTATTAAAAACATTTCTTAATTGGAAGGTAACAAATTTAATTCCCTTCCCAGTTGTTACTATATACCATAACGTCATAAAATCATTATAAGTATTTGGGGTTTTAATTTAAATACCGAAAAACAATTATTTTGTCTGATCTGGCTAAAATAAAAAATGTTATAAAGAACATTAATTTTAAGTCACGTTCTCTCGCTTAAATAAGTTGGCATCCCTCTATTCCAGGTGTATACTGTTTACATTTTAGTAAATAAGATTTTAAAGAATAAAAAAAAGTAGAACGAATGTGCAACAAACATTCTATTATTTATTTTTGTGAATATTTTGTTTAGCCTTTAATTCAAGTATAATAAAACACAATAAATTAGAACGTTTGTACGTTAGTGATTGTCGAGTAAGTAATAAAAAACGCCCTAATGGTATTACAATGTATACAGCTTATAGAAATAGTTAGACTCAAAATGCAAACGTAAGTGACCAACTGACAAATGCGAGTCTTTACTAATTTTCTGCTACTAACTTTTTGGCGCGATTCCGTTTACTTTTGCAATCGGGTAAAAACACTCATTTCGGTATAGGTGGGGTAAGTACCGATAGGGGAGCTCCTCCAGAGGAGGTATATCCAAAAATAATTTTGCTAACATTTCCATTTTTTTAAATATTTCCAATTAAAAATTAAAAAAATTTGTATTAATAGCACTTAGTGTTTCACTAAATTTTTTCACTTTTTTCACTTTGTGTATTTAAATATACTTTCTAAACATTGAATAATAATTTATTTTCTTATATTTTAGCTAATTTATTAATTTAAAAACCACTTAGCACACTCATCATTCAAAAGATTAGATTGTTTACAATTATGAAAAAAACGAGCGTTGCCACATTTTAAACACCAAATATGTATTTAGGATTTTCAACGATTTTTCTTTGTTTATATTTTCGCGCGATTATTCTTTCTATATTAACTCTAATAAAAAACACTTTCCAAAAATTTTCAAACTATAATTGAGAAGTCTACACTTTTTCCATATACAGTATGCGACAAAACTATGTATACCCCATGAAAGTTGAAAAGAAAATATCATATCTTTTGAAAAGTGAAGTTTATTTTTTTGCATGGTTTTTGGTTTTGCTTATGAGTATACTACATACAAAAAATTAAATTAATTTTCTGCATTTTAGTGTTAGTGACTGCAAAATACGCAGTAATCTGAAAAAAAGAAATTCTTAGCAACGACAAAAGTATGTATACCCGAATAAATTTTGAGGTTACCTTCACACTAGAGCTTCAATATTTAGTGTTGCCACCCTTAGCATTAATTACTGCCAATAGACGTCGAGGCATGCTGTCAACCAAGTTTTGAAGAAGTGATTGGGGTATGTTTCCCAGGAGTATTTCTATTTATTAAAAATCTCGACTTTATTTGAACG